GGATTTGAACCCACCACCTTAGGTATATGTGGCTGGCGCCTTAGCTGTTTGAGCCACAGGCGCCGAGCCTTATTTAATCATTTTGATCTATATATTAAAAACTAATTTTATAACCTGAAACATTGATAGCGAGCCACTAGATTGTTGGAGAGTTACAATTACTACTTATGATTATTTCTATTTATTTATTTATTTAGAGATAGAATCTTACTATTCCAAAAACACTCTGCTGCTGAGAAAAAAAAAGAGACAGAGTCTCACTATGTTGCCCTCGGTAGAGTGCTGTGGCATCACAGCTCATAGCAACCTCAAACTCTTAGGTTAAGTAATTCTCTTGCCTCAGCCTCCCAAGTAGCTGGGACTACAGGCACCCACCACAATGCCCGGCTATTTTCATGTTGCAGTCGTCATTGTTGTTTAGCTGGCTCAGGCTGTGTTGGAACCTGCCAGCTTCAGTGCATGTGGCTGGCACTGTAACCACTGTGCTATGGATGCTTAGCCACTACTTATTATTATTAAATTTGAGAACTGCAGCCGGGCATTATAGCAGGCACCTATAGTCCCAGCTACTTGCGAGGCTGAAGCAAGAGAATTGCTTTGAACCCAAGGTTTGAGGTTGCTATGAGTTATCATGCCACAGCTTTCTACCCAGGGTGACAATGTAAGACTCTGTCTCCAAAAAAAAAAAAAAAAAATCGAGAACTGCAGCAGTTCTCCTTCTCCTTCTTTTTGGTCTCAGGCCTCTTTACACTCTTAAAAATTAACAAGTACCCCAGGCGAGGTATGGTGGCTCATACCTGTAATCCCAGCACTCTGGGAGGCCAAGGCATGTGGATTGCTTGAGCTCAGGAGTTACAGACCAGCCTGAGCAAGATCGAGACCGCATCTCTACTAAAAACAGAAAAACTAAAAAAAATTAAAAGATAGAAAAACTAGCGGGGCAAAGTGACGGGCATCTATAGTTCCAGCTACTCAGGAGGCTGAGGCAGGAAGATACCTTGAGCCCAGGAATTTGAGGTTGCTGTGAGCTATGATGCCACAGCACTCTACCCAGGGTGATAGAGTGAGACTGTCTCAAAAATTAAAAATTAATGAGGAGGCTCGGCGCCTGTGGCTTAAGTGGCTAGGGCACCAGCCACGTACACTCAAGGTGGCGGGTTTGAATCCAGCCTGGGCCCGCCAAACAACAATGACGGCTGCAACCAAAAAATGGCCGGGCGTTGTGGCGAGCGCCTGTGGTCCCAGCTACTTGGGAGGCTGAGGCAGGAGACTCGCTTGAGCCCAGTAGTTGGAGGTTGCTGTGAGCTGAAATGCCATGGCACTCTACCCAGGGGGACAGCTTGAGGCTCCTGTCTCAAAAAAAAAATTAATGAAGACCCCAGACAGTTTCTTTCAGTTGATGTGGGTTATGTCTATCAATATTTACCATAATTGAAATTAAAACTGAGAATTTTTTTTTTTAGAGATAGAGTCTCACTTTGTTGCCCTTGGTAGAGTGCTGCGGCATCACAGCTCACAGCAACCTCCAGCTCTTAGGCTTAGGCGATTCTCTTGACTCAGCCTCCTGAGTAGCTGGGACGACAGGTGCCCACCACAACGCCTGGCTATTTTTTGTTGCAGTTTGGCTGCGGTCGGGTTTGAACCCGCCACCCTCGGTATATGGGGTCAGCACCCTACTCACTGAGCCACTGGCGCTGCCCCTAAAACTGAGAAATCTTAAAAAATTGTATTAATTCATTTTAAAATGGCAGTAATTTGTTAGTGTAAATGAAGTATTTTTATTACAACTGTATGCCAAAAAACTTAGAAAAGTGGCACTGTTTTTCATTTTTGCAAATCAAGTCTGGCTCAGTAGAAGAAAGTGGTCTCCTAACTGCTTCTGCAGTCTGTCTATTGCAGCATCACAATACTGCAGACACTCATGAGAAAGTAAAAAATGGGCTCGGCGCCTATAGCTCAACTGGCTAAGGCGCCAGCCACGTACACCTAAGGTGGCGGGTTCGAATCCCCAGCCCGGACCCGCCAAACAACAATGACGGCTGCAACCAAAAAATAGCCGGGCGTTGTGGCGGGTGCCTGTGGTCCCAGCTACTTGGGAGGCGGAGGCAGGAGACTCGCTTGAGCCCAGGAGTTGGAGGTTGCTGTGAGCTGTAATGCCACGGCACGCTACCCAGGGGGACAGCTTGAGGCTCTGTCTCAAAAAAAAAAAAGAAAGTAAAAAATGGTAATATCTTAGCATTAATTTGAAAATAGTTTTGATCAGCTCAGCACCCATAGCTCAGTAAGTAGTGTGCCAGCCATATACATTGAGGCTGATGGGTTTGAGCCTGGCCCAGGCCTGCTGAAGAACAATGACAACTGCAACCAAAAAATAGCCTGGCATCGTGCTGGGCGCCTGTAGTCCTAGCTACTGGGGAGGCTGAGGCAAGAGAATCGCTTAAGCCCAAGAGTTTGAGGTTGCTGTTAGCTGTGATGCCAAGGCACTCTACTGAGGATGACATAGTGAGACTCTGTCTTAAAAAAAAAGGCAGTGCCTGTGTTTTAAAGGAGTAAGGCGCCAGCCCCATATGCTGGAGGTGGTGGGTTCAAACCCAGCCCTGTCCAAAAAAAAAAAAAGAAAGAAAGAAAATAGTTTTGATCTTGTGGTCCCCAGGGGATCCCTGACCCTGGAGAACCACTCAAGACATGACCTTGAATGTATGAGAGTTGGGGTGAGATGGATGGAGGGTGGGGGCAGAGATGTGGGTGCATTGGAAGTGGGTGGAGACTTGGAGATAGCTGTCTGCAGAGAGAAGTTAACAATGCAAAGCTTTTATACAGGAGACTAGATAGACAGGTAAACACATAATGGATGTTGTGATCCTTTGATGACCAGAAGAATGGAGCCCAACTGACCCCTCCCCATCTCTTTTTCTTTCCCTGCAGATCTACTCTCCAGTGACCCCGGTGCCCACCATGGCCCCCCTCAACTCTTACATGACCCTGAACCCTCTAAGCTCTCCCTACCCTCCGGGGGGGCTTCCGGCCTCCCCACTGCCCTCAGGTCCCCTGGCACCACCAGCCCCTGCAGCACCTCTAGGGCCCACCTTCCCAGGTTTGGGTGCCAGCAGTGGTGGAGGCAGCAGCTCAGGGTATGGGGGCCCAGGCACTGGGCTAGTGCATGGGAAGGAGATGCCAAAAGGATACCGGCGGCCCTTGGCCCACGCCAAGCCGCCCTATTCCTACATCTCACTCATCACCATGGCCATCCAGCAGGCACCAGGCAAGATGCTGACCCTGAGCGAGATCTACCAGTGGATCATGGACCTCTTCCCTTACTATCGGGAGAACCAGCAGCGCTGGCAGAACTCCATCCGCCACTCGCTGTCTTTTAATGACTGCTTTGTCAAGGTGGCACGCTCCCCAGACAAGCCAGGCAAGGGCTCCTACTGGGCCCTGCACCCCAGCTCAGGGAACATGTTTGAGAATGGCTGCTACCTGCGCCGCCAGAAGCGCTTCAAGCTAGAGGAAAAGGTGAAGAAAGGTGGCAGTGGGACTGTCACTGCCAGGAACGGAATGGGGGCTACTGCAGCAACCACCACCCCTGTTGCCACAGTCACCTCCCCATCTCAGCCCCCACCCCCAGCCACTGCTGAGCCTTCTGAGGCCCAGGGTGGGGAAGATGTGGGGGCTCTGGACTGTGGCTCACCCACTTCCTCCACACCCTATTTCACTGGCCTGGAGCTCCCAGGCGAGCTGAAGTTGGACGCACCCTACAACTTCAACCACCCTTTCTCCATCAACAACTTGATGTCAGAACAGACACCAGCACCTCCCAAACTGGACGTGGGGTTTGGCGGCTATGGAGCTGAAGGTGGGGAGCCGGGGGTCTACTACCAGGGCCTCTATTCCCGCTCCCTACTTAATGCATCCTAGCAGGGGGGTAGGAACATGGTGGTGGGTATGGTTCTGGTGACACTTTGCTTGTCTCATGGGTTAACATCTTGGTTTGCTCTGTTCTTTACTGTGATGATTGCTGTCTGTGTGAGCATCATGTTGATCCACTGGGTGCTGTGGTGTCCACCATGTACATCTGGGTGGGCCCACTGGGTACTTCGAAGACTGCCATGTTGATTTATGTCATTAGTTGATTCACTGAGTGCTTTGGTGGCTGCCATCTGGGGGGCCCTTTGGTTGCTGTGATGGACATCTTTCTGACCAACCCTTTGGATGCAATGGTGATACCATTTCATCTTCTTTGGCCCATTGGGTGCTGTGATCACTTCTTTCTTGGTGGACTTCTTGACACAGTAGGTGCCAAGTTGGCCACCATCCTGCATAACATCATTTTTGACTTATAGAGCTTTGATGGCCACCCTGTTGGCTGCATGACATTATCAGTGGGCCATTGTGCCACATGATAGCCACCAAACCCTCCTGTTGGCCAAGTGGTCACCATCTCTTCAGTGTGAATAGGGTGATGGATGAAGGTTTTCTCTGAAGCCCATTCCCCCCACTCGGGTCCAGGAGAAACCCAAAAGGGCTGGGGTTAAGGTGTGGGGAATTTCTACTGAAGTCTGATTCTTGCCTAGGAAGTGGGACACTGGCTGTGTTTGACCATTAAAGGCACTGTTTCCACCTCTTATAAATGTCTCTTTTCCTTGGTGGGTGGGCCCTGTGGGACTTGAATACCTGAATTTCTGTTCCCCAGGCCCCTTTCCTTTCTTACCCTAGAGCTGGCTGCCTCTAGGGGAGCAGCTGAGGGAGGCATCGACCTGACCTTTGGCTCTTTGCTGTCCCTGACCCCAAGGACAGTTTGTTCACAGATAGCAGCCCCCGCAGCAATGGGGCCAGGGCAGCAGGGGGAGGTGGCTCTGCAGTGACCAAGGCCATCTCCCTACCCCCACTTCTCAGACACACACATATCCCCCTCCATCTCTGAGGCTCAAGGAGCCTAGGGTTGCTCAATTTTTGGCTAAGCTAGGGAGGAGGAAAAAGGACAGAGGAGGTGTTAATTGAAAGACATGCATATTGGAATTTATCTGTTGTGCATGTGCACTGTGTGGGTTTTAGGGTATCATTCTGCCCTTTGGGGTCCCCATGGTCTACTGAAGGGTGTTATCTATTGTTTGTTTCCCTCAGTTGTGTGAGTGCATGTGTCTCTTCGTACTCTTGAATGTGTGCTTGTTACAGGTGTCTTGTGGATGTGTCTTTATTGTTTTGTATGTGTGGTTCTCTTTGTACACCTATCCCTGGGTCCCTCAGGGTCTCACATTGTTATATGTATGTCTACCCACTGCCTAAAAAAGTGTGCATATGTGACCACATCCATGTGGTGCATCTGTCACTGTCATTTATGTCTATCTCTGTGAGTCAGCATACATCTGTATGTTTAAAAGAAAGTATATATGTCTTTGTATGATGCCTGTCTTTTGCCATATACCTGTCACTTTGTGTTTGTGTGCAAGCGTGTGTGGAGAGTCTGCTGGCCCTGGAGTGGGTCTGTCACTTTTGTGGGTGGAGGATTTGTGGGGAAGGATTTGGGTTCTCCTTTGGCCACTGTGGGCCTGGGGACTTGGAGCCTGGGTATCTGTCCCTGAGGGTCTAAGTCTGCCTGTCTGCCGCTCACAATGGCTCTGTCAATAGCACAATTGTGCACGTCACACCTCTCCTTTCAGAGTGGAAACTGAGGCCCAGAATGGGAAGAGACTGGACAGAGCAGGTAGGCAGAATTGGTCTGCATCTGCTGGTCTTGATTGTCAGTTCCCTAGTGACCCATCCATTTATTCAGCCAGCCATTCATTCATTCCAACACCAAAGACTGTTTAGTCACCTGTGTGTACGTGTGTGTGCACGCGCGCACATGCGCAAGCGCCCATGTGATATGTCTCCTGGTTTGTGTATCTGCCTTTCTCCTTGTCTCTTAGTGTCATCTCTTTCTGTGTCACTTTGTCCCTGACCCTTCCTCTGTGCCTTTTTCTGTCTCTTGATTTCTTTGAAATGCTTGCTCATTCCCTACATGTCTGTCCCTGCTATGGTCTGCCCCTCTCTCTGTTTCTTTCTATTGCTTCAACTCCATCCTTCCCTATCTCTCCCTCCTTCTCTCAGGGATCTGACTATTCTTTTCTTGGGGTCTGTCTCTTACTCTTTTTCTGAATCTCTTGGTTTCCCTTCTTCTCTGGCCTCCCTCCCTCTCTCAGCTCCCTGTATTTCCGCCTCTACCTGCCACCTCGCAGGCCAGGCTCTCTATTTCTGTCGCTGTGCCCGCCTTGCCAGCTGCGTGTCACCCTCCACCCCCTGCCGTGTTGGCTCCCCTGTCAGTCCTACCAGCCTCACTGTCCTGGGCAGGCTGGGGAATTCCTCCTGGTTCCTGGAAAAAACAACTGGGGCCGAGAGAAAGGCCCTCAGTCTCCCCGGGCACCCGCCCCCCTCCCTCAGGCCTGGGGGTCTCTCCCTGAGTCCGCCAGCCTGAGGCAGGAAGCCCTGCGGTTTCTGGCTTCTCCCAGGCGGCCTCCGGATCTGGCCCCCGCCCCCCAGGCCAACAGCCCAAATATTATTCCGCAGGAGGAGTCGGTGGTGGCGGGAGGAGGCCCAAGCTGAAAGAGGCTTTCAGGGCGGCCAGGCCTGGGGCTTCCTGTCCCCAGGCTTGGGCCTCAGGCCGCCCCATTGGGGACCTCAGGTGGCCGGAGGGGCGGAGTGTTGTTGTAGGGTCCTTGGGGGAGGGTGGGGCCATCCGTCAGGGTGTCTGGTGGCCACTGGCTCTGCTGGCGTGGGCAGGTATGACCCCCGCCCCTGGGACAGCAGGCTGATGTCCAGCGTGGAAAAGTACCACGGTCAGACGTGGGACGCATGGACAGACATGAGTTTGCCAGGGACCAGGGATGAGGGTGGCCTTGGGGACATGGGCAGCCCTAGGCTGTGGGCCTGAGGTGACATGGTCCAAAGAAAGTGTCTGTGGATAGGGAAGCAGAGGCTGGGGAAGGGTCCCAGATGTGGGTAGAGGGTTGTCTGCACTGGGAGGCGTGAGAGGAGGATGATGATGATAATCATTATTATTTTTAATGCCTTAATCAAGTGCTGTAGTGACAAGGGGAAAGGGCGGAACAAGGAGTTCAATCCAGTGAGATAACTCACTACCTTCCACCAGCCCATGATGATGACAATTATGAAAAGCTACTAGTGCTTACCATGTGTCCAGCATTGTGTCAGAATTCTGACCTTGCAGAACTCTGATCAACTCAATCCCTCCCGCTCCTCCCAACTTTATTGTGGGGTGAGACAGGCACGGAGAGGTGAAGGGACTTGCCCAAGGTCACACAGATTAAAAAGTAGGGTGCTGGGGGCTCCAACTCAGGCTGTTCTGGGATGAGGGGAGCAGAGTCCTGGCTCAGGCCCTCCCTGGCAGGCGCCCCCACTTCCTACCACATCTGCTATGGGAGATGGGGGCACCCCCAAAAGCCACATACATACTTATAAGTATGTGTATGTCTGAGTTGGTGTGTTAGGTGTCTTTGTGTCTGTGGGCTGAAGTGTAACCCTGTGATGCACCTCTTTTCAGGGAGTTAGCCTGTGCGCTTGTGTCTGTGTCAATTACTGGGCATGTGTAGGCAGTGTACCACTGTGTACACGTGCATGTCACTGTTCTATCATTGTCTTCTTTATGTCTGTCACTGTGTTTCTGTACCTAACACCACATTTGCCTGTCATCATATTTTCTATGTGCATTACTGTCAGTATGTTTGGTCCGTGTGTATCTGTCACTGTGTGTTACAGTGGGTGTCTATGACTGTTTCTGTCACTCTAGACCTGTCGCTGTGGTTCTGCCTATATCTGTCACTGTTTGTCACTGCGTCTGTCCCTCTATGTGTCACCATCTACCCAGGTGTCACGGTTAGTGTTACTCACTGCCCAGGCCACAGGTGGGTGTGTCGGGCCCACTGGTGCCAGGACTGGTGCCCAGCCCATCCCACCCTTGCTGACCGTGGGCCAGGTTAGGCGCCTGTTTGCAATGCTTGCCCCAGGCAAACACCAAGATCCGGAACCCAAGGGCCACCTCCCTCACCTCTACTCACTGCCCTGCAGCCTACTCTGGGCTGGGCTGGACCAGAGTCCCCCAGACTGGAGATGTGCCCTGCCCTCCCCCACCCTCAGGCACCAGCCTCCCTAACCCCTAGCCTTGGCCTTGGCTCTGTCTGTCTCTGCATCCCTGTCTGGGTGTCTCCTGGCTGCTGTTTCTTTCTGTCCCTGCTTCCTCTCACCTGGGTTCCTCTGTGCTCTGCCTTTCTCTGGAATGACCCTTGTCTTCATCCTATTACTGTCCATCTGACTTCTGTCTCTCTTCATAGAAGCTCCAACAGCTCTCTGTTTTGCCAGTGTGTCCCCATTTGTGTCAACCTGCTCCCTGCCACTTGCTGCCCATCTCTGGGTCTCTCTTGGCAAGTCTGTAAGTTTCTCTTCTCTCCCTCTCACTGTCATCGTGTATCTCTTAGCCTCAGTATCATTTTGGGGCACTATCTTTGTGGGTCCCCCCAACTCCACAGGGGCAGACTCTGCCATATCTGGGCACTTAGGGTAGGGCCCCAGGCTCCCACCCCCAGCCCACTGGTATATATATATAAAGGTATATGTACATATTATTTATATCTGTACCCAGGCAGGAGGGGCAGACACTGGGGCCTTTGTGTAGTCACTGCCCGCTGCCCGCCTGCCTGCCACTCCTCTCCCTTCGTCCCTGCCGCCTGCCCATCCCCACTCCCCCCACACAGAAAGGTTCCTGTGGGGCCTGCCAGCTTCCTCTGCCTGAGGTGTGAGTGGGCATGCCACGAGTGAGGCAGGCGGGGGGGGGGGGATTCCAGGCCCAGGGAGCTTTCCAGGTGGGGAGGGCTCTGGAAGGAATGGGACTTCTCAGCTGAGCTGCTGTCTGTCTCCATCTGCTGTCCCTGGGTGTCCTTAGCTGGCCTCTCCTTGGGGGTCTCTGGGTCTATCCATCCACCTAGATATTGTTCTGACATTTTCTTTATTGGCTTGGGGTGTCATTCACTCATTCACATGCCGTTACTGGGCATTTGTGCTAAGTCCTCTGTTGAGCATTAGACACAGACACGTCTGTCCCAATTGACTGATTCATTGCCATTTCATCTCATTTGCTCCATCCCTTCTCCCTTGCTTGAAACCTTTCACCTGTTCCTATTAAAACAAAATCCAAAGTTCTTATCAAAGCCTATAGCACCTCCTATGACTCCCCCACTGAATCTCTGACTTCATTTCCTACAACTTTCCCCCTTGTCATAGCTGCACTGGCCACCTGGCTGCTTATGGGACAAACCAACCAGGCTCCTCAGGACCTTTGCAATACTACTTACCCAGATTTCTCCCGCCTCACACCCTCACCTTTATTATTTTTAATTAATTTTATTATTATTATTATTTTTAGTAGAGAAAGAATCGCACTATGTTGCCAAGGCTGGTCTCAAACTTTTGGCCTCAAGTGATCCTCCTGCCTCAGCCTCCCAAGGTGTGAGCCACAGTACCTGACCCTTCATCTCCTTCAGTTCTCAGGTCACCTCCCCAGTTATCCCTTCCCTACATCCATCTTTATATATATATTTCTTTTTTTTTTTTTTTTTTTTTTTTGAGACAGAGCCTCAAGCTGTCCCCCTGGGTAGAGTGCCATGGCATTACAGCTCACAGCAACCTCCAACTCCTGGGCTCAAGCGAGTCTCTTGCCTCTGCCTCCCAAGTAGCTGGGACCACAGGCGCCCGCCACAACGCCCGGCTACTTTTTGGTTGCAGCCATCATTGTTGTTTGGCGGGTCCGGGCTGGGGATTCGAACCCACCACCTTAGGTGTACGTGGCTGGCGCCTTAGCCGGTTGAGCTATAGGCGCCGAGACTATATATATATTTCTTGAGACTGTCTCACTTTGTTGTTCCTAATAGAGTACTATGGTGTCATACCTCAACCTCAAACTCTTGGGCTCAAGCCATCCTCTTGCCTCAGCCTCCCAAGTAGCTGGGACTACAGGTGCCCACCACAACACCCAGCTATTTTTTAGAGGCATGGTCTTGCTCTGGCTCAGCCTGGTCTTGAATTCATGAGCTCAGGCTATCCACCTACATCGGCCTCCCAGAGTATTGTGATTACAGGTGTGAACCACCTTGCTTGGCCTATATCCATCTTTAAAATGGCAACTTTCAGCACTCTTTATCCCCTTTCCCTGGTTTATATTTTCCTAAGAGTTATCACTGAATGCCTGTCAGATTTCTTTTTCTTTCTTCTTTTTTTTTAACCTGTCAGATTTTATGGTTCTGTCTGTAACTCCCACCTGAATATCAGTTCTACGAGAGCAGGGGCTGAATTCTGTTCCCCGCTCTATCCACCGCATCTACCCCAATTCTAATCACATGGTAGATGCTGAATAAATATTTGCTGAGAGAGAGAAGCCCATTAATCTATCTATCCCTTAAACCAGCCCTGTGCTGGGTGATGCTAGAGGCACTGTGGTGACCAAGACAGCCCTGGAGCACTGCCCTTATGGGGCTCACAGTCCAGTTGCCAAACAGTGATGATCTAGAATAGGCAAGGCTGGATTGGGGAGGCATTGGGGGAGATGGGAGCCCAGAAAGCACCTGATGCAGTCGTAGGGTCAGGGAGAGCTTTCTGCAGGAAGTGTCAGCTGAGCCGAGACCTGGAAGATGAGTAGGAGTGAGCCAGGTGACCAAAGCAGACCCAGCCTTGCCTTTTTTTCATAGAGCTCCCATTTTTTCCCTGTCTCATAGAACTTTAGAATTCCAAGATGTCTTAACTCTAGTTCACACCTGCGCCTTTCCCAGATCTCAGCCTCTCTTACCTGCTCTTTACTCCCTTCTCTCTGCACCACAGCCTCCCTTCATCTCTGTCTCTATGGCATGTCACCTGTGTATCTCAGTCTCACTCAACTTAACTAGATATCCTGCATGTAGTTCTCTTTTCTGAACATCTGTCTCTCCCTGTTTCTGCTTCATTTCCCTGGATCTCTGGCTCCACTGTCTCCTTGTCTTTCAGTGAGTGAGCTGGTCTTTCTTTGCATTTCTCCTCCCCACTTCTATTGTCTCCCATCATTCCCCTGGGCCCTCACCATATCACCTCTGTTCCGAAGTCTCTCCACCTACTCACTGATTCCCAAATAAATCCAGAACCCCTCCACCCTGGCCCCACCCTGGCACTGGTGGAAGGGGGACTGATCCAGCCCCCCACACCCACACAGATCAGGCCTTCTGCTCTGTTAATAGTTAACCCAACCTCTATCTAGAATACACACCAGCCAGGCTGGGGGTGACTCCCCTGCCCCCCACCCACCTACCAGCTGTTCTTAAAGGACCAGGTGTCCTCCACAGCTCTTTAGCTGCCATGGAGGAACAGAAACCAGGTGTCTGGGGGCCATGAACCCTGAGGATTTGGGGGAGAGGGTACCCAGTACTGGGTCTGCAGAGCTGGGTCAGGGAAAGCCACAGGTTTTGAGGGTGGGGAGAGCCTAGACATGGCACAAGGAGCAGCGTCTCCCTTGCCCCAGGCTTATCGTCTGGTGTATTTTATCAGGGGTGGTTTTCCAAGCCGTGCTCGGAGTCCTGGCTGGCAGTACCAGGGGCGGCAGAACACCCAAAAGATGATGGTTGGGGTGGGGGGATGGGAGCACTGCAGTCCAGGAACTAAGGATGCAACCCCAGGGTCCCTAGTATCTAGGAGTTAGGACATGTGGGTATGCAACTGAGTGGGGGACCTCGGTACCAGAGAGGATGGATCAGGAAGCCAGGGTCCTCCAAATTTAGGTGAGGAAACACCGGGGTTCCTGAGATCGGGGGGCGACCTTGGGTCCCAGAACTGGATGGTGGCAAGACAAAGTCATTCTCCATCTCTCTGTCCACCTGGCTTTTGCGCCCTGTATTCCCTCTTCCCGGAATCTCTACCTCAGGGTCGCGGGGAAGACCGCAGAGTTGGGGGATGGGCTCTCGGGGCCTCACCCACCCCTTAACCCCTGCTTTGCCGCAACCCGTTCAGGCTCCGCCCCGTGACGCCAGCAAGCAGGAAGTCCTGGTTAATGATCAGCCACCCGGACAGGTGCGGGACAAGGCCGCGCACATCAGAGGCGGCCGCGGGGGAGTGCCTTTTACCCGCGATCGTTAGTGTTGTAGGGTGGCCGCTAAAGGGGCTTATTTCCCCACAGGGAGGCTGGTTAAGGCTTCCCAGAGGCGAGAAGCCACTTTGTTTCCAGGTATCCTGTTAGCTTACCCAGTAACTTCCCTTTCCGTGGACAGTCCCTCTAGTAGTCTAGCCTCGATTCCTGCCCTGCCCAGCAAGAACCCAGTGGCTCTTTCCTCCCCTTTCGTGGGCAGAGTCCTTCATATTATGGGTAGAACAGGGGATGGGCCAGCAACTCAAAGGTAACCTATTTTGGGCTTGTCTATGGCTCCCAAGCAAAAGCCAGCCCTTCTGAGTCTCAGTTCTGACACCTGGAAAACGGGCCGACTTTGGCTACAGGATATTACTTGTAAAAATATCAGCTGGCGGGATCGCCCTAGTGAAGGGTGCCACCTGGAGGTTACAACGGCAACATTCTAGTCCTTGAAGAATTAGTTCAGTCCCAAAGGGGGCGCAGCATCTCACACAACTAAGGGACCAAAAGGGAAAAAAACCCCATCTTTCAGTTTATTGAAGGAGGAAAAGGAGACAGGATGGGGGGGGGGGGCGACATAAAATGCTTTTGCCTCATTTATAAAGAGCGAGTTTTCAAGAGGCTCTTTCTCCAGGAGGGCAGCATTTCTCCCCTAGCTACAAGAAGCAGCGAAGCCAAGCCAAAGAGGGAAGAGGGAAATCGGAGGGGCCAAGGGACCCCAGAACATTCCCCCAGACGGGAGCCACAAGCTTTCTCCCCCCCACCCACAATGCGTCTACCCCAGGGGACCCATGGGGTGGAGGAAGGGGGTATGTACACAGGTAGGGGTGGCACTGGGCTGGGTCGGGGAGGGAATAATTTATCCGCAGAAACGGTGGTAAGGAAGCAGAGGGCAGTAGCCTGGAGGCAGTGGTAGCCTAGGGGTCCCGTTCTTTCTTGACCTTGATATCTCCTGCAAGGATGGTGGCGATCTCACCCTGCATGAAAGCCCAGGGAACAGACGAGCCCACCAGTGGGCACTTCTCTCCGCTTGGGCAGTACACCTCCCCAGCAGGGCCCTGTGCCTTGATGAACTCCCGTGAGCAGGGAAAGCAAAATTTGTGTCCTGGCACCGAGGGGCACTGGACGAAGTGGGTATCTTCTAGCCGCTCCCGGCACAGGGTACAGCACAGAGGGGTTCCCGGGGTCGCCCCGGTGCCACCACCACCCCCGCTGACAGCTTCGGCCCCTGCAGTGGGACTGACTTCTGCCTCACCATTGCGGGCCACTAGGCGATGCTGGATTGGAGGCTGGGCTGTGGAGGAGGCTGCGGGGCTGGTGCCCCCAGCACGCACAGGGCCACTACCCCCACCAGGGTCCTTGGGTGAGTGGCCCAAGGCCTCAGCCACATTCTTCAGGGCAGCAATGGGTGAGGGCACACCAGGGGTCTCAGTGGAGAATGGCCCGCCAGGTGCCACCCAGTGCCGTTGCTGCTGCTCCTCTGTGGTCATCTTCCCAGCTGCCTCTCCCTCCGGCTCAGGGGATGCCTTGCGACGGCGTGGCGTGGGTGCCAGGTTCCGGGATGGGGCCCGTGGGGGTGGGCCACACAGAGCAGCAGGGGCTGGCTCTGGGTACTGCTGTGGCAGGGCCTCTGCAGGAGCTGGCTCGCGGAAGCTGCGGACACCATCAGTAAGGAGCTCACCCAGCTGGCGCCATTCTCCTGAGCCATGCCGGCGTTCATATTCGAGGTACTTGAAGCCAGATGAGGCCAGGGCCTTGCCTGGCTCCCGCAGAGCATCATGAAACATCTGGCGAGCCACGGCTAGGACCCCAGCGTAGACATTGCCAGAACCACAGGGGTACTCGGTGAAAAGTTTCAGCTCGAACTCATAGCCTGGAGGGCGGGCAGCAGCATCAAAGGCGAAGACGCGCCCCACCAGTCCGTGATCCTTCTTGAAGCGGACATTGAAGGGGGCACAGGCAGACAACGCCAGTAGCTGTTCCCGCACAGCCTTGGGGCGCCCGTGCCACTCCTCTGCCCGGCCCCGCATGGCCTCATTCAGTTCTGCCAGACAGTCCGCATTCCTTTGCTGCTTCTCCTTCTCGAAATCGGAGCTGAAGATTGGACGGACAGGACTCAAGCCTGGTGCCAACGTCAGGCCTCGGCTCCCCAGGCCAGACACCGCAGCTGCCAGCAACCCAGGGGGCATCAAGCCAGGCATGGAGCCAAGCAAGGCCCTTCGCGCCCCCTCCGCCACAGCCTCCTCGCGGCTCAGCCCATTGGCCAGGCGAGACCCCAGAGTGTACTCCAGGGCGGGTGAGGGAAGGGGGAGGCGGCCTGACGATGTGGCTCTGTCATAACGGTCCTGGCCTGAGACGCCACTGCCAGTCCCGGACGGCTGGGGCTGGGCCTGCGGCGGCGGCAGCTGGGGCCCCTGTGAGGCAGCCGCAGCCAAGTCCTTGGTAGCCGGGTGCTTCAGAGCAGGGGGCCCAGGAGAACGACCCTCGGGGAGCACGTGGCTGCGCTTAAGCTGGCGGGCAGCATCGATGAGCAACTCAATGCGGTCCGCGCCCTCGAAGTTCACACAGCCACGGCACACGGCCTCGCTAAAGTCCCACACCATGGCCCACGGCATCTTGGGCAGATCGCACAGGTAGCACCACTGGCGGCGAGAAGCCTGCACAGACGCCATGGCTCTCGAGCGCGCGGTCCCCGGCCCCCGCGTTCCACCCGCTACTGACGTTCGCGCCTCCTCACCAACGTTCGATTCGCCTCCCGGGGACAGCACAAGCCACGGTCCGGCCTCAGACTCGGCCTCCCTGCCGGATCCAGGCCCGGCCCCCCTTCCCCGCCCCCTGGGCCCTAAGCCTTTTTCCTCACTCCCGCCTCCTTGAAAAGGTAAGCTGAAGCACGTCGGCGCCCCCGTCCGGTCCAGGCTCCAAGCCGAGGCGCACAGCTCGGGCCCAGTGATGGGCCGCGGGCGCCGCCGCCTCGGGCTCCCGCCGCTGCCGCCACCGTCGCCGCCGCAACTGCAACGGCCGCCGCCGCCGCCTCCACCTCCTTCTGCCCCAGAGGCCGCTTCGCAGGGAAAGTTACATAACGCACCAGCAAAGCCTTCTGGGAAATGTAGTCCCGCCGAGGCCCGTTCTTAAAGGGAACGGCGGGCAACGCGGGTGAGGGGGCAGGGGTTGCCGTTTTTCCGCCCCTAAACCTTATTATTCTTTAGCACCTGGTCAGGAAGTAGGTGCACTCGGAGGAACTCGGGCAGAAGGGTGCGGAGGGCAAGGCTGCAGTACCAAAGATCAAATTCACTACAGATTCAGAAATTGTGGGCAGTGGACAGGCAGCAGGGGATCTGATTCAACTTCTGCTCTGACTTGCTGTGCAGCTTTAGGCAAAGATCCTTGCCATCTCTGAGCCTCAGTTTCCCCGCCCATCAAAGGTGGGCCAATGACAATTTAGGAAGACAGCAGCTCCTGGGGCGGAGCGGAGAGACCTTGATTGGATAGTTTCAGGGCTGGGAACGGGAAGATGGTAACTGAGGGCGGGGAGAGTGTTGTCCACTTGGCACTTCATCGTCCCTCCCCCCAGAATCCTTGAGCTCTCTGATCTGGTGAAGGAGAGGCGTGACCAAGCGCGCTCCGATTCTGTTCTACCTCTACTCACGCGCTCTGGTCTCCAAAGGGTTACACTGCCTGCTTCTCCGCCCTTCACCTCACTACAATTCCCCAAATGCTCTGCGGCTGGGCAAACTGACGCACTTCCGTTGTCTGGGAGGTTGTGGGAGGCCTCTCCGATTCCCGCTGTCTACCCCCCACCCTACTTTCTTGGGGGCTCTTTCTGTGCTTTTGGAGTACTAGGTTGGGGGTCTCTTGCCCTTTGCTGTGCCCCAATTTGGGGTAAGAGATGGCAAACGAGAGGGGGGATTACTGGGGGAGGGTAAGCGCCAGACCACCCTTCCCCAACCTTGAGTTCTCACTACCTGATAGGCCCAACCAGGCTTTGGGGACCCTCTTGTCCATTTCCAGACTTTGGAAACAGGACGAGGCAGTAGGTTCTCACATCAACCATTTCCTTTCTTTAGACCTGAGTTCCTATATTTGAATGACTTACTAGTTTGCATTGGGGTGTGGGGATGGTCTCCTCCCATCCCACTGCAGCCATACGCTCTCATTTTTACCCCCCAGGTAGAGTGCTCTAGCATCATAGCTCACAGCAACCTCAAACTCTTGGGGTCAAGCGATCCGGGGATCCTTTTACCCTGGCCTCCCAAGTAGTCGAGTCTACCGGTCCCTGCCTCTTTTTTTTTTTTTTTTTTTTTTGACACACAGCCTCTAGTTGTCGCCCTGGGTAGAATGCTGTGGCGTCACACAGCTCACAGCAACCTGCAACTCCTGGGCTTAGGCGATTCTCTTGCCTCAGCCTCCCAAGTAGCTGGGACTACAGGTGCCTGCCACAACGCCCAGCTATTTTTTTTTGCAGTTCAGGGGGAACGGGCTTGAACCTGCCACCCTCGGTATATGGAGCCTGCACCCTACTCACTGAGCCACAGGCGTCGCCCCTATTTTTTTGGTTGCAACCGTTGTTTGGCTGCCGGAGCTGGAATCATACCCGCCAGCTCAGGTGTATGTGGCTGGCACCTTACCCACTTGAGCCACAGGCGCCGAGCCTCCTGGCTATTTTTAGAGACTGGGTCTAAGCTCTTGCTCTGGAGCAGGTCTGATATTTGTTTCCCAAATTTAAGCCTGTTTCACAATTTTGGAGCAGGTCTGATATTTATGTTTCCCAAATTTAAGCCTGTTTCACACTTTTACCACCCGTATTAAACATTTTTCCTCTTGGGAAAAAAAGTCTACTTTTGCCTTGTCCTAGGCAAAATTGTTTACAATCATGGGTTTGATATACTGGGGACATTTTTTTAAAAATCAGTTAAAACCCTGGAGCCACTGAAAAGGCCACTTGTGTCACCTAATGTTGTGCTATTTTTTAGTGGCAAACATCAGTGGGAGTTAAAGAGTTCTGGTTAGATTCAAGCTTCAGGTGGACCAAACTGGCCTCTAACTGTGGCTTTGGGCAAGTTCCTATACTTTTTCCTCAAAATGGAGATTACCCTACAGCTTGCTCTTTCTTGGGTACCTGCAGATAGAAATGAAAATGTGCACATAAATGCTTAGCTTGGTGCTTGGCACAGAAAAGTGCCAAAAATGAAAGCTGTTTTTAAGCTCTTGCAATTATTCAACCCCTCTTCTGTGTTGGGGAATGATGGGGGACACAGCAGTGACTGAGACTTAGGCCTTGCCCCTAAGAAGGCTTAGGCTGGTGAGAAGCAGCAGACATTAAATTTACATTTGCTCAAATGATTAAAACTTTGTTAAGTGCTGTGGCGAGGGTCTATCAGGATAAGCTCTTGTAATATTTGAGCTGAGTCCTGAAGGATGAATAGAATCTAAAGTAGAAAGTAAAGACTATGCCCACTTTATAAATGAGGCAAATGGAGGCCCACGATTACACAGCTGCCCAGGGTAGCAGCAGGGCTGAACCGGATCTGAGTCCAGGATGATGATTATTATCTATTTTGCTACCAGACCCAGCAGCAGATGGAGTAAAAGAGAACCAGTTCTTGCCTCCATGAAGTTAGTTAGGAAAACATGCCTTAACAGGCAAATGTTCATCACCATTAAAAAGAATAAGGCGAGGAGGGGAGCACTGAGAAAGAATCTAAGAGGAAGACCCATTTTAGCCTGGGGTAGGGAATCCAGGACATTCTCTTGGAGGTAAGGTGATATTTAGAGTAAAGAGGGGCAAGATTTCACTTGAAAACAGCACTTTGATGGCTCCAACTTCAAGGGTATGTTGCTTGCCTGTGAAGGGGAAGAGGCAGATGTAGGGCTGATCTCCCAGGCCTGTCTCAGACAGACCCTCCAATAATTGTATTAAAAATAAGTTTATTGATATCTTGTCACCACTGGGGAGAAAGGAAGGTTTGAGCTCTGGAAGTGAGACAGCATTGGGAGGCAGAGGACCCAACCTACACTTCCCCAATAAGAACTCTACCCCTTCTCCCCAGGGTGTTGACTGTTATATCCTCTTCTTCATCCAGATTTTGTCTTAAAACTCCCACCCTCTCCAAAGTCTTGGTTGGGGAGGGCCCCACGGGTCAATTCTCTTCAAGTCAAGAACAGGAATTGTTAGGGAAGGGCGTATGTGCAGACCCGAGAGGTTCCCTCCTTGCCCTACAAAGGGCAGTAATAAATAACGTAAAATTCATGGCTTAAAAGTTAAGGTTAAGGGAGGCAGCCAGGCAGACAGCACTGTACCAGAGAAAGGGGCTGGGGGAGCCCATCCATGAGACCCCCCCCCCGAGAATCAGGCACTAACTAGCACAGGAAGTGGGGTGCTCACACCCCTAGAGCAAGGTGCCAGGGTGCAGCTGGGATGGGCAAGGAGCATCGCCCTCCCCTCGACTGGCCAAGCTGGGGAGAGGGGGGTGCAGGCAGGAGTGCAGACAATAGATTTCACGGAGCTTTCCACCGGCCCCGTCTCTTCCGTGTAGGGAAACCTTTTCTCCTCTTATGTGGGGGTGAATCATGGGGAGGGAGTGGGGCTGGGGATGGACGGGATGCCCCCTCCTCACTTCTGGGGGAGACGATCACCCCCCTGGCTGCCACCACTGCCCCATCCACAACGGCAGCCACCACTGACACAGGCTCTGGGGTGATTTCCATTTTGGGAGCAGGTGGGGGCAGGATGGGCCTGGGAGGTGGGGGTGGAGGTGGGGGTGGGGGTAGAGGTGGGGGCAGGGGATCAACTGGGGTTCCTGGCAGAAGGGGCAGCAGGGCGCTGAGAGCCTCACTCAGTTTGGCCAGTCCCTGTCGAAGAGTGCCAGCCAGCTCCCGGATGGCATTGGCAGTCTCCTGCTGGGCCCGCAGGAAGTCCAGGGAGGGGTCTGGGGTCGAGAGCACAGGCAGAGGCCGAGGAGGCGGACTTAGGGGGGAGGGAGCCACCTGGGCCATTGGTGGAGGTGGAGGAGGAGGGGGGGCTGGGGGTGATGGAGACAAGGCCAGGCGGGGCAGCTGGACCAGCTGCAGGGCTGCAGGGGGTGGGGACTCACGCTCCTTGGGCCGGGAACAGCCCCCTTCCTGGGGATTGCAGGAGGGCCGTGCCCAGGATTCTGGGCTGCTGGAGACCCCCTTGCTGTGAGCTGGTGTATCTGTAGAGAGAGAGATGCATGTAAGGAGAGGTGACCTCAAAATTCTACCTTGATTTTCCCTTTCCCCTCTATCTTCTCCTCCCTACCCCTAGCCCCAAAGCCATCCTTTAAAATTTAAAACCTAAGTCCCATCTCACCTCCAAAAAGAGTACTAAGACAGGTCAAGGCCAACTGCAGTGGCACATGCCTATAATATTAGCACTCTGAGAGGCTGAGGTGGCTGGACTGCCTACGGTCACAGGTCTAAGCAGCCTGAGCCAGACTGAGACCTCGTCTCTAAAAATAGCTGGGCGTTGTGGTAGGTGTCTGTAGTTCCAACTACTTGGGAGGGTGAGGCAAGAGAATCCCTTAAGCTCAAGAGTTTGAGGTTGCTGTGAGCTGTGATGCTACAGCACTCTATTGAGGGCGGCAAAGTGAGACTCTGTCTCAAAAAAAAAAAAGGACAGGTCAGTCTTTGTACCCAGAAGAGTAAGTCAATATATTTAACCTGTTGGTCTGTTCCAGCTTTAGTGGAAACAGGCTTTAGGAAATCTCTTGCTGGGCCAGGAAGCTCAGATCTCTCCCAGAGTAAGAGTCAATGTTTTGCAAGTCTCTGAACAATCTGGACACTGGTGTGCACTGCTGGATCCTGGGGAGGACAGATAGCCAGGGCACTATGGGAATGATTTTTTCCAACCAGGACAGCACTTTCCAGTTCAAGCCCCAGCCTGGTAGGCTTCCCCAGTCTCTACCCACCCACAGGCTCATACATGCTCATGGACTTGGAGACAGTCTACACACAGAGGCTCCTAGATTCCCCCACACAGCCTAAACCTCTCTGCTGAGCCCCACACTCCTATCTCCCACTGTGTACCCTATATTGTCTAGTAAAGCCTCAAAC